TGCCCGGGCCTCGCCGGAGCCGCACCATTCCCACGCGGCTCGGGAGACCCGGGGAGGAGGCTGTCTGGGCCTCGCCCGAGCCGCAGCATTCCCGCGCGGCTCAGGGGACCCGGGGAGGAGGCTGTCCGGGCCTCACCCGAGCCGCAGTGTTCCCACGCGGCTCAGGGGACCCGGGGAGGAGGCTGTCCGGGCCTCGCCCGAGCCGCAGGGCTACCCCGCGGCTCAGGCGACCCGGGGGCTCGGCTCTCCGGGGCTCGACCAAGCCGCAGGGCTCCCGCGTGACTCCGGGGACCCGGGGGCGGGGCTTAGGGGACCCGGGGGCGGGGCTTACCGCCACGCGCATTGGCGGAGCGGCGCTCCGGAGGGCTCCAGCCCGAAAAGACCCCTGTCTGTATCTAGCTTCTAAAAGGAGAGATATGTATTAGGATTTCATTTTCCTCCTGTTTGTTTTTCTTTACTGCTATGCCAATAAAGGTTGTTGTTGGTTTGGAGACACAGCAGCAAAGCAAATCTGGAAAACCACCTGGAAAACTTATGCATACTTGCTTGAACTGTCCCGACAAAAGGCAGAATATGTTAATTAGCACAGACTTGGACTTTCTCTGGTTCATAGACAACTGTCCTTACAAAGCAATATAACTGCAATCAAAATTTGATTATGAACCAATATAGTTATTACCAGATTCTTTTGCGACTCTCAGACGATCTTCCCATCCATCAAATGGTCCCAGACACTTTGCTAGGAATGTCTGGAGCGTAACACAGTCCAAAGGCAATTCATGATTGTCAGCACCAACACGTAAAATAGGATCTACAACTATATAGCCTCCACCACTTTTCTGACCTCTGGAATAAAAAGATGCATCTTTCAACAATTTCGAAGAAAATGTTGGGTTAACCACTAGTTATAACTGAGACCTGCTAAGAATTGAGAAGGGGGGAGCTTGCTACTTTAAATTTTTTAATATGCTTAGTAGTGGTACCTTCAAACTCTGCCTCCAAATAAAGGTAGCAATTTCAGATAGTTTACAGATGGTTCCCAAGCATGATGCAGCCAAATAAGCTCAGTATAATACAGAGTCCTGCACACAAGCCTGATAAAGAGATGCCAGCAAAAGTGCTGTTTAAAATTCATTGTAGGGTCCCAAAAGAAAATGAGGGCTATTAGCTGTCCCGCTTACATGCTCTTAGTAACTACTGGAGCGTTTTTTTGTTAATTGGACATTAACTCCAGTACCTGCTACTGACTAGAAAAAAATAGATGAAAAGGTTGGATGATAATAATGATGATGATAATAATTGTGTCTAGCCATCAATTTCTGAGAATTTAACTCGAAGGTGGGCTCTTCTACCACATAAACTGGAGTAATCTTACATATTGTTTTGAGCATTTATTTAGATGCATTTAACATGCCAACAACCCAGAAAACACCACCAAGTACTCTACCATTCACACTGCCAAGGGACCCCTCTAATCAATAAGAAGCACTCCACTCTGAAAACAATGGTGGTAGAGTAGGCATCACCAGAGATAATGTGAAAGGCAGGTACACTACATAAAAGGCCTGTATTTGTCAAGGTCCATCTTGTGTGATTCTTCCCCCTTTAAAAAGGGGGTATGTACAATCACGCAAATGAGGTCCCATGAACAGGCATTTGCATGAGACACCTGGATGACATGCCAACTTCTGGTGGACCGCCCATCCAAAAATCTATCACCACCTGAGTAAGGATCTGAAGCAGCTCCACATTATACTAGTAGCAGTGGCATCCATTTGAGTTTTATTCCTCTCCAGTACATTCACTTACTCATGACTGAAATGATACTTGTATGATCCAGAAGTTTGGAGGTCTAGTTTACAGTATTTGTCAGAATCGTCTTCTTTTCCTGTTGGGTTGTGCCACGACAGCGATCTGAACTTGTGACGATCAAACACTTCTCCAGAAGCTGGATAGTTGGTATACACCGTGACATGCTTTCCTTGCAAAGTAGGGCCCAGTCGGAACTGGAGCTCAAAACCTGAACAAAGCAAGACAGGCATCTGTTAGTTAGAACACAGCATCCTCATCCTCAGTATATCTTTGTGGTGTGAAATCCAAATGGTTTCAGGAAAAATCATTCTCAGGAAGATGGATGAGGAATGTAGCACAGAGTGACATAGTTTGCAAGTCTCCCAGCCCTTTCAGAAACCTTACTCAGTATGTTAGTAATCTTACGTTTCTCTCCTACATACAAATCCTTAGCACATTGAACAGAATTTATGTTATTTTATTATGTGACAGTAAATAGATCATGAAGGAACTAGAAACAATCCTTAAGTGTTTTAAGATTTGGAGTACCCTAAGATCTGGAGACCAAGATCAAGATAATTCATACTATGGCATTCCCCATTACTATATATGGAGGTGAAAATGAAGAAAGCTGACAGAAATAAAATTGATTCATTTGAAATGTCATGTTGGAGGAGAATTTTATGGATACCATGGACTATCAAAAAGGCAAATAATAAGATTCTAGATCAAATCAAGCCTGAACTTTCCCAAGAAGCTAAAATAACTCAGCTGAGGCTATTGTACTTTGGTGATAATTTGGTCACATCATGAGAAGACAAGACTCAGTGGAAAAGACAATAATGCTAGCAAAAGTTGAAGGCTGTAGGAAAAGACCCAAAATGAGATTAATTGACTCAACAAAGGAAGCACTGTCTTTACAAGACTGAGCCAATGGTTTAGAAGACTGAGCCAGGCTGTTAATCATAGGACATTTTAGAGGTCATTAATTCATAGGGACACTATAAGTTGGAAGCGACTTGACAGCACATAACACACACACACAAAGATCATTTCAGCTTTAATGTGTCATCTCCGAACACTGTCATTCAGTCAATGAATGCAACAGCACTATTTTACAATAGGACATACCATCTCAAAGAGATTCTTTCATACCATTTGTGAAAAATGTCCTTACAGCCAAGTTAGCATACTACAGACTGCAATTCTACAATGCAGTCTTAAACTATTGTACCCTTTGAAGCTGGTTCATTTCAATGGATTAAGACTGCTTTGTTAGAAATCTTCAATTAATACTGGATTCTTAGAAAGAGAATACCCAACTGAGGCCCCTGCCACACGGCAGGGAAAAGGACGGCTGATCTGCGGCTAATATGAGCCGCACCAAAGTTGGAATGCCGCGGCGGGATCCCACAAATCCCCTGAGCCGCGTCGCGTCGCTCCCCAGCACGATCAGATGCCGGGGAGGAAGAGTCGGATGGGAGGGGGAGGCTGCCGAACTGCGCATGCTCGAGCATGCGTAGTACGGCAGGGGGCTGGGATGCACCGGCGCAAAGACGCGTCGGCCGATCCCACGGCCCGGCTTGCGGCGCTCTAATGGATACAACCACCTAGGTAGGTGGTTCTTTTTTAGTGTGCGTTTTCGGCGGTAGGGACAGATCAGGGGCGGGCAGGCAACGATTCCCAGATGTTACCGTGGGATCGCGCCCGTTTGCTCCACCCCCGTTCCGTCCCCCTCCCGGCCCAAAACGCCTCGTATGAACAGGGCCTGAGTAGGGCAAGCTGAGGCTGTACCAACAAGATGTTCTGCAAGAGGGCTAATACATGCAACCATGTGGTAATTACTGAATGATAGTTTAATTGTGTGAAACAGGCCATATCCAAAAACTTTAATGCACAGACAGTTAATGGAAGCAAGAACATAATTGATAGGTGTAAAGCTTGATAACTACCAACTCAACTGTGTTGGCTCTCACTTGGACTGACCCTATTCCATGCCCTTAACCTGTAATCAGGATAACAGCATCAGAACATAATACCACTCCACCCAGGGATTAATATATCCACTGAACAAACAGGACAGCATTAGCATTCAATTATCATATATATTTTAGTGACACTTGTGGAAGGCAAAATGTACATTCATTATTAATTACGATACTGACTCATCTTTGTCACATGCAATTTCCATTTTAGGAATACAAATAAAATTAAGAATTAATATACATTTGTGAAATTTTCCATCCTAAAAACACATTACTTGTAAGTCAGTTCTGCTGAAATCAGTGGTGATTACTTCTGAATATACATGGAAAGACTTGGGCTATCAAGTGTGCCACCTATATGTTTGCCCTGAGAACATCTGGAACAGAAGGTATACCATTTTCATTTCAAAATGTAATCAACAATAGGTATTTAGACAATTTAATATGTATTGAGCTGGGGATCACTCACACAAGTTCTATGATCAGGCTTCTTTTTCAGTCATTTCTTTCAAGGATCGACTGAATGTGCATGCATTTAAATGATCATCAATTCATTCATGGTTTGACTGTCATGGCCTGTGGTTACAACAATTTATAGATGGGGGGGAGGAGAATAATGGCTGTACAGTTGAATAATATAACCACAGTCAAACTACTTACATAAATAGACTTTAAATTAAAAAAACCCCACTAATGGCTGAGGCCTAGACTTTGCCACTGGCCATTCAAGAAAACCATGACACTTACATATTCCACTTTTAACATACATTATGGAATCATTAACTCAGTTAAAAATTTTAAAGCATCTGCTCATTCAAAATAAGTTATCCTTATGTTCTATGACCTCCCAAATTTATATTCAAAAGAAAGCACTTGTTATTTATGGAAAAAATAGTGAATTGATCATAAACAAGAAGAGAAATTTTGCAGCTGTTTTAGGTCAAAGATTTATATTGCTCAACCAGTGGAACAATACAGTACATGAAAAGAAACTTATAACCTGTGCCTATTATTCCAGCAAATGTAGGTAGTACATTTTAACAGCACAGAAAAGAACTAGGAAGCAGCATAAAGGTTTCTAGAGTTACTACAGCACAATCCAACACATCTTTACTCAGAAGTGAATCCCACTGTGCTATTCAGAGGTAAATGTGTGCAAAGGATTGCACCATACTTAACTGTAATGCTAGGCTTTATCAGCACTAACTAAACTGTCATAAAATATTGAGCGAACTTTAAAGTTCCCCAGAAAGTGCAATGAGACTACATGTTACGGTTTAACAGTTAAGTACACACCAATGGAGTGGGGGAAGAGAAACATATTGCTGGGAATGACAGAAATCTCAAGTCATACCTAAAATTCTTTGCACAATACATACAAAGCACAAATCTTAAAATGAACTCGTTTGTGCATTTTGCTTTGGCAGCTTGTTTACCAGGTCTGCTAAACATAGTCTTGGCCACAGACGTTTGCCACCAGTATCTTATTCCCCACAGCAAAAGTTATGTACGGTAAGAGAATGCATTGCTCAAAGTGGTTGCATACCCTCTGTCTGTTCTTCTGGGACCAAAGAAGAACTGTGCACTTGCACAATTTAAAAAATTTGAAGACGAGTAGCACCTTAAAGACCAAAGATTTTCAGGGTATAAGCTTTCGAGAGTCAAAACTCCATTTGTCAGATACAAGTAGAAATGGAGATCCCTGAGCTCTTATATCCCAGTCATAAGGTGGGAAGGATGCTGCAAACAATGGAGTCACAATGCACAGGTACAATGAAAAATGTAATCAGAGCAAGGGAGAAATCCTTAGGGGCAGAAAATTAGCATCTGTAGCATGATAAGAATCCTATTTTCCTATTCATCGGGGGGGGGGGACGACACTGTTCTGAATCTGTGAATGAAACTCAAATTCAGCAATCTAATGTTATAATCTCCCCTTGAAACTTCTCTATTTGCGGACTGCCACGCTTAGGTCACCCATGTAGCATCCATGAAGAGGACATGTAATCAAGCTGATTACACTTTACCTTGTAACTTTCCATCCTGACCCTTTCTTTGCAACACCCCACCAATGCTCCCTGTAAGCTGTGGAGTCTTGTGAGCAAAAATTCTACTTTGTGAGCTACCAGCATTAAAGCTGTGAGTGAGTGATTTGTCTACTGCATAAATTAGTTTCCTCTGGAGCCATCCTTCCTGAGTTAAGTTGAAAAATGAGTGAGCCAGAGGCTAAAAAACTGTGAGCTAGCTCACACTAACTCAGCTTAGAGGGAACACTGCACCCCATCCACTTTCTGACTGGGATATAATGACAGAGGGAGCTTTGACTCTTGAAAGCTTGCACCCTCAAAATCTTGTTGGTATCTAGCTCTTTTACTGCAGACTGACATGGCTACCTTTCTGAAACTACACCCTAAACAGTCACAGTAGAGGCAGCAGTGAGTATGGTTTGCACGGGAAAAGGGGCAGGTAGAGATGCATTCACCCTTTCATCACCTTACTCCTGAAACACATCTGCTGCTTCTTCCCATTTCATACAGCGAACATATTCCTAGAAATGAAATCTTACCACACTTTCCCCACACAGTGTCCCCTCCAAAGAAACGACAACCAGCATTACTGCCCTGTTTCTGCTAAAAAAACATTTAGCTTTGGCCCTTAAGACAATACAATTCCAAAGCCCAGTACATATTACCCCAATGATTAAATGTATTAAGAATCCTCAGGTGAATACTACATTCATATGCCATTTGACAGATCTGAAGCAATTTTGGGAGGAAATGGCAAAAATTGATTTGTCATCTTCATTTATTATACATAATCTTACATCACCAAAATTTCCCACTCTCCCACAAAACTGCATCCATTGCCTCATGTTCCTGAGCATTTACCCTGAATACCTACAATGTGCACCTGTTCTTACAAACTCCTCAATACTGAGCTATTTACATGATGCATTCAGCTTTTACAGCACAAGCTGGGTTGTATTCGGAAGCTCCCTGCTGCTTTCCATGCAACTTGTTCCCACATAGGTATGCCCTGGATTGCAGCTTTAAATTTCACTGTGGTAGTGGTGGGAGAACCAAGTACATATAAGTGCATACACATGTGCATTTGTGTACATTCATCCTTATCCCCTTTGCTCCCCCCTCTTGCCTCCCATTTAGTTGTTGATGCTTGTCCCCACTGTTGTAATTCAGGCTGTAAGCTCCTAGGGGCAGAGGCATTGTTATTTTATCTTGTAATGCAGACACACTGATTTCTACCTCATACTTTCCCCCATCCCACCAAGGAGCTCAGAGTCCCATAAATGCTTTGCCCTTCTTCATTTTATCTTCACAACAGCCATGCGAGGTAGGACAGACAGAGAGAGTAACTGGCCCAAGGTCTCACAACCAAGTTTCACAGCAGAGTGGTGAGCATAGGGAAAAGCTGGCTGCAGAACACCATTTGAACTCCCCTCTCTTGCATAAGGCCAGTTCAGGATCCAAGTCAAATTAAAAGAACGCATGCAGGGCCCCTGACCTTGTTCCAGCCGGAAGAGGGTCTTGTCCAGCTTTTCCATGTCGTTGAGCAGGAAGACACGGGTCTGCTTAGCATGGGCCATTGCGGCTGCCTGGCGCTTTCCGCTCTTGCAGGCGACGGAAATTAACTTCCGAAAGACAGGAGTGGCTCCTAACAAGCAGAAGAAACACACACACAAGCCAACCATGAGATACATAGGGCTCGACTGTCCCCGGGCAGGGAGGAGAAGGGTTCACACACAGGTCACCTTGAAGGTCCTCGGCCGAATCCGAGAGACTCACACTTACATTTTTGCCTCCTCGGTCCAAATAAAAAACACTTGGCAGAGAATTAAAGAAGGGGCGGGTGTGTGTGTATAATAGGAAATATTGCCAAAGGAATGACAGAAACGCTCTTTCCAGCAAGCAGGCGCACCGAAAGCCTCGGAGGGTCGGTCTGCCAGCCTCGGGGGAGAGAGGGAGGGAGGAGAAGACTCTGTCCCTCTTGGGCCAGCCACAAGGGTTGGCGCCTGTCACTCTCTTCTCCCCCCGCACAATGCAACCTGTCCTGGCGCCACTGAATACCTCCCCCCACCCACTCGCCACCATTATCCCCGGCTGCTGATGTTGTCTATAAATATAGAGGCCAGCAGGCCGCCCTTCACTCACCCGAGGACGCTGCAACGGCTTGCGGGTCGAGGGGGAAGCTGAAAGAGACAGGCGCGGGCGGGGAAAAGGACGAATCGGGAGGAGAATCAGTTCCCTCCGGAGAGGGAGGGAGACCTTAGCCCCGCCTGAACGGCTCGCAGGAAAGAGGCAACGCTAAGGCCCGGCCCTTTCAGCGGCACGGCCCGCCTCGCCTCGCCTCCCCACCCTCTTCCTTTGCAAAGCGCCCAGGCAAGCGGGTTTTGCTTGCCGCTGGATTCGTGTCCGGGGAGAGAAGGAGGACAGCGAGAACTGCTGCAATGGCGAAGGAGCTGCGAGGAGTGGAAGTTGTAAAGCTAAAACGAAGCAGCAAGAAGATGGCAAGGAGGGGGGCTTGTTAGGAGGGTGTAGCAGGATGCCTCTTCTTTGGGTGACTCGGATGACTCCTGTGCCCTTTAAATAGACTGTGGGGTGGTGGGGGTTACAGAGAAGTCCAGTCAAACTTGGGATCTCTTCCCCCAAAGCCGTTTATTAGTTTAGCAAAACTAGTGAATAGTCTCTGTGTTTTTCTTTATTAGATTTGAATCACACATAATTACATTTCACACTGTTGTTCCTGCATTTCATGATCTTTGACCCTACTGTATTATCATATCTCCGACATTAAATGTCTGCCAAAATCTGTATCTCTCTGCCTCATATTGCTTCCGAATTTATTAGTTTTAAGCAGATTACTAAAAGATAGAAAAAGCTGGACTATATTTGAATGGCTGTAGAAATTCACCACAGATGCATAAAATTTTGTAGCTTAAAGAGTGGTAGGTCTGCTATTATCTTCTAAAAAAAAAGGTAATGTCTCCATATGATTTGTATTTTGGAGCAAATGAAGAATTAAAAGATTTCTAGGCTCAGAAAAATGGTTGCATTCAAAGGTCCTGTGATAAAGGGTGCCTATACTACCTGCATCAGAGTCCCATACTCTGATGAGAATATGGTATCTTAAGATACCTCCTTTGCAAACCTCTAGATGGTAGGGCATTAAGGTGTGCCAACATAAAGGCATGCCTGTAGCAAGGAACAGCCAAATATAAGCAGTAATTGGGGAGCTCTCCAGGTGGAAGAATACCAACAAATTGAGTAGAACAAACACATCATTCTGTACAGAATGTACTGTTACAATCATATTTAAATAGATGTTTCTTAATCATTCTCATGGCTTCCTGTCTGGTAACCGAATAAAGGAAGTCAAAGGAAAGATTGAGGAACTGTAGCTGTTCGTCGACAGGTTTGTCCCAGTGGGATGGGAAACAGGAGTCCTTTCTGATTAAGCGGAGGTAGCCCTCTTGGATGTCAGAGTGTAACAGTGTATAATTTTAACTTTAAGGGGAAAAGCCTTCAACCAAGCCTAAGCTTCAAGAGATGGTTGTCCTAATTCAGCTCAGAGGACTAACCCTGCTACACAATTCAGAATTCTGCAGATGGAACGTAGGAATTTAAGAAGAATGGGATTGAAGGACTCCCTTATTTTGTCAATCTATATACCCACCCCATATAAACTTCATGCAACCTTGGCATTAAACAATTTGATGGCGGCTGGGATATACTGAGCCCCAGATGAATAAAAGATTGATGTTTCATGCTGCTGTAGCCAATCTTTTAACGTGAGCAGCTGCACTGACCAAGTTAATCTCTGGCCAAACCAGACCCCTAAGTATTTTAAATAAGGAACTTCATCAGTATCATTACCCCTTGTGGTATACATGAAATCCCCCCCCAAAAAAGAAACCCCCCAACTGTCTTGGATTTTTGATAGTTAACTACCCTGACTGTTCCCTGGAAGGCCAGATACTGAAGCTGAAATACTTTGGTCGCCAAATGAGAAGGGAGCACTCACTAGAGAAGACCCTGATGCTGGGAAAGATTGAAGGTAAAAGAAGAAAGGGACTGCAAAGGATGACATGGTTAGTGTTATCGATGCAACAAACATGAAATTAAGCAAACTGGAGGACGACAGAAGACAGGAGGGCCTGGAGTGTTGTGGTCCATGGGGTCGTGAAGAGTTGGACTCGACTGTGCGACTGAACAACAACAACCAGGTGTTCTTCCAGACAGTAAGAGACAAAAGCCCAGAATTAAACTTTGCTGGTCTCAAAGGTGCCACTGGACTCAAGACTTTGTTCTAATGTATGTAGTTATCAAACTGATGCCAAAGAATAACAGTTGACTTCTTCATTCACTGAGGAGGCGAATAAACATTTATTAAGACCTATATTAAGGAGCCTAACTCAACAAGAACCGCTAACGCCCAAGGGGGGAAATTAGGAAGTGGGAAGCTTTTAAAACATAATAAGAACATAAGAGATGCCAATGTTGGATCAGGCCAAAGGCCCATCCAGTCCAACGCTCTGTCACACAGTGGCCAAAAATAGCAGGTGCCATTAGGAGGTCCACCAGTGGGTCCAGGACATTAGAAGCCCTCCCACTGTTGACCCCCCCAAGCACCAAGAAGACAGAGCATCACTTGCCCCAGAGTCCCTATCTATACCTTGTGGCTAATAGCCACTGATGGACCTCTGCTCCATATGCTTATCTAATTCCCTTTTGAAGCCGTCCATGCTTGTAGCCGCCACCACTTCCTGTGGCAGTGAATTCCAAGTGTTAATCACTCTTTGGGTGAAGAAGTACTTCCTTTTATCCGTTCTAACCCGACCGCTCAGCAATTTCATGGAGTGCCCACGAGTTCTTGTATTGTGAGAAAGGGAGAAAAGTACCTCTTTCTCTACCTGCTCTTTCCCATGCATAATCTTATAAACCTCAATCATGTCACCCCTCAGTCATCGTTTCTCCAAGCTAAAGAGCCCTAAGCGCCTTAACCGTTCCTCATAGGGAAAGTGTTCCAACCCTTTTATCATTCGAGTTGCCCTTTTCTGCACTTTTTCCAAAGCTATAATATCCTTTTTAAGGTGTGGTGACCAGAACTGCACACAGTATTCCAAATGAGGTCGCACCATTGATTTATATAGGGGCATTATGATATTGGCTGATCTGTTTTCAATACCCTTCCTAATAATCCCCAGCATAGCATTGGCCTTCTTTATTGCAGTCACACACTGTCTCGACATTTTCAGTGAGTTATCCACTACAACTCCAAGATCTCTCTCTTGATCAGTCTCTGCCAGTTCAGACCCCATCAACGTGTATTTATAGTTAGGATTTTTGGCTCCAATGTGCATCACCTTGCACTTGGCCACATTGAACCCCATTTGCCATGTTGACGCCCACTCGCCCAACTTTGACAGATCCCTTTGGAGTGCCTCACAATCCTCACTGGTTTTCACCACCCCGAACAACTTTGTATCATCCGCAAATTTAGCCACTTCACTGCTTACTCCCATCTCCAAATCATTAATGAACAAGTTAAAAAGCAGTGGACCAAGTACTGATCCCTGCGGTACCCCACTGCTTACCACCCTCCACTGAGAAAATTGCCCACCTACACTCACTCTCTGTTTTCTATGAACTAGCCAGTTTTTGATCCATAAAAGTGCCATGTTGACGCCCACTTGCCAATCCTTGACAGATCCCTTTGGAGTGTCTCACAATCCTCACTGGTTTTCACTACCCTGAACAACTTCATATCATCTATTCGAATAATTTGGGGCTTGACGTTTTGGTGAGCAAACCCACCTAATTAATAGACTGAAAACTCTTCAGAGAACCTTGGAAGGATGATAGGGAAAGGGCTGAGAAGCTCTTTTGGCTCTGTCTTCACTGTTGAAGATGAGAAGTGCTTGCCCACTCCAGAACTGCTGATTTTGGGAGAGGTGTTGAAAGACCTGAGTCAGATTGAGGTGACGAGAGAGGAGGTCCTACAACTAACAGACAACTTAAAAACGGATAAAACACCAGGCCCACTAAGCTGAGTTAGTGTGAGCTAGCTCACAGTTTTTTAGCCTCTGGCTCACACATTTTTTTTGTCTCAGCTCAGGAAGGATGGCTCCAGAGCAAACTGATTTATGCCATAGCCAAATAGCCTAATCGCTCGCTCACAGCTTTAATGCCAGGAGTTCACAAAGTTGAATTTTTGCTCACAAGATTCCACAGCTTAGAGGGAACATTGGTAGGCACACTGATGAACAAAAACTATTGAGGCAGACTCAGCATGGGTTCTGTAAGGGAAGATCTTGTCTCACTAACCTGTTAGTATTTTTTGAGGGGGTGAACAAACATGTGGATAAGGAGAACCCAATAGATTTTGTTTACCTTGACTTCCAGAAAGCTTTTGATAAAGTTCCTCATCAAAGGCTCCTAAGTAAGCTCAATAGTCATGGGATAAATGGACAAGTCCTCTTGTGGATCAAAAACTGGTTAATTAATAGGAAGCAGAGAGTGAGTATAAATGGGCAATTTTCACAATGGAGGGTGGTAAGCAGTGGGGTACTGCAGGGCTCAGTACTGGGTCCAATGCTTTTTAACTTGTTCATTAATGATTTGGAGTTGGGAGTAAGCAGTGATTGAAGTGGCTAAATTTGCAGATGACACCAAATCGTTCAGGGTGGTGAGAACCAGGGAGGATTGTGAAGCACTCCAAAGGGATCTGTCGAGGATGGGTGAGTGGGTGTCAACATGGCAAATGGGGTTCAATGTGGCCAAGTGCAAAGTGATGCACACTGAAGCCAAAAATCCTCACTATAAATACATGTTGATGGGGACTGAACTGGGAGAGACTGACCAAGAGAGAGATCTTGGAGTCGTAGTAGATAACCCACTGAAAATGTTGAGACAATGTGCAACTGCAATAAAAAAGGCCAACGTTATGCTGGGGATTATTAGGAAGAGAATTGAAAACAAATCAGCCAGTATTATAATGCCCCTGTATAAATCAATGGTGCAACCTCATTTGGAATACTGTCTGTAATTCTGGTCACCACACCTCAAAAAGGATATTATAGCATTGGAAAAAGTGCAGAAAATGGCAACTGGAATGATAAAAGGGTTGGAACACATTCCCTATGAAGAAAGGTTAAAGCACTTGGGGCTCTTTAGCTTGGAGAAACAATGACTGAGGGGTGAAATGACAGAGGTATACAAGATTATACATGGGATAGAGCAGGTAGAGAAAGAAGTACTTTTCTCCCTTTCTCACAATACAAGAACTCGTGGGCACTCAATGAAATTGCTGAGCAGTCAGGTTAGAATGGACAAAAAGGCAGTATTTCTTCACCCAAAGAGTGATTAACACATGGAATTCACTGCTGCAGGCGGTGGCTACGAGTATGGATGGCTTCAAGAGGGAATTGGATAAACATATGGAGCAGAGGTCCATCCGTGGCTATTAGCCACAAGGTATAGATGGGAACTCTTGGTCTGGGGCAAGTGTTGCTAT